AAGCAAATATAAGGTACATTAACTATGATAAGATAGAATCTATCTCTATTAAAAATCTCCTCAGCATTAACTATCGTAGTTTTGCAATAAAATACTTATAAACCATAAATTTAAAGAAATTCCTTAAAAATGGAAAGAAAAAAAACTCTAAACTGAAAACTAACCTTTTCCTCTTCAATTGTACCATAAAATTTCAACTACCCATAATGATTTCTTGCTCAGATAACTAGATAAACAAAGATAAATTATGAAACAAGTTTGGCCAAATAAATTCAACACTGAAGGTGATCAATAGGAATCTAATCCCAATCTGTGCTCCTCCAAGTGTTCATTGACAAGAAGCATTTGTCCAGATGACGAACAGAGAATAGAATGAAAGAAGTGACAGAACGACTACTGAGTACTGATTGCCAAGTCATTAAGATTTTGAAGATTGGATGACGAGATTTAATAACCATGTGACAAACCAATTCCCAACACAAGCAAGCCTTTGTTGCAGCAATGAAGTATCCGATCAAAGTGCAAGGCCCATGAATCCAAGGATGTACATGCAACAAGTCAGCAAAGGAAAATGCTTTTGACTCCACTCCACTAGGTCCATGAACCGGAAAAAAATTCGCCCGAGGTTCAGTCTAACAATGGCTGTTAAACAATGGACCCTGATTTATACGTCGGAAACCACAACCAACAATATTATACATAAAAAAAAATGCAACTGACTGCAATGGAGTACGAGCATCCATCCCGACTTCCCCACTTCTACGGTCAATGCCTAAGCCATCAAAAGCTACTACTTCAGCCTAAAAAAAGCAGAAACGATACAAAGCGTTCTCAGAAATTAAAATCTCAGCTTTCTGTCATTGGATAGAACAATCAACCGGTGCGTAGACCCAGAACTGAGAGGCGTGTTCTACGCAAATCAATCAATCACCACTTCAAACTAAAATAACAACCGCTTAATAACACATCCAACTGCTATTTCGGTACCTCCAATCAAATCTCAAGCAAATAACCCCTAAAAAAATCCTAATTTCATATCGAGACCACAATAATAATAATAATATTAGACTAATAGGGATTCAAAGGGGGGAAACGAGGAATTTACTTGAAGCACGCTGTTACAGTAGCAAGTATTGCCGAAATTCTCGAGACCAAAGTACCTCTCCCCTTCAGGAAACTGATCCCCTAGGGCCTTCTCCAACTTGGAACCAGCAGCTCCCATCAAAAAACCAACCAACTTTCCCACAAATGGAAACCCTAACCCTAACCCTAACCCTAATCCCGATCGTCGCTCCACCACGGGCGATCGAGGCCAGTCAACCACAAATCGACGTGAGATCGCTCATTTTATGGGTCTAGAAGGAGCAATTGAATCAAGAGATTTGATTCAAGGGGGTTTTTTTTTCGAGGCTCGTCGAGAGAGACGAGAGAGGCGATCGGCGGTGAGAAAAGAGAGCGCCGTAAAATTATTAAAAGAGACGTCTTTGTGTTTGACTCTGTAGAGATTAGACAGGCGCAGCGAACGTGTTAGGGAGCGGCACGTAGAATGCACGTGAGTTTTGTATCAGGGAAAAAACGATCGGATGAGGCTGGCGACCTTATTCCCCCCTTCAAATTGGTGTGTTTTCGAAGTAATCTGATAATAAAAGATTCTTTTATAACAATTTTGGTTTTTTCATAGTAACCACCTTAAAAATAAATTATATTTTATTTTTAATTTATACATAAATTATCTTGAAATTGGATTTTTATTCCGATCAACCACCTTCTAATCACAGTTTTTACTTAAAACCTCAAGTACCCTATAAAAAACACACGGTTAAGACGAGCAACTTATTTTGTTAATGTCTAGACCTCGTTACTATATAAGTCACGTACCTTAGATGTGCATTTTTAAAGGTTATATTTTGTTTTTTTTATTTAGTGATAATTTAATTGGAAGTTGGTTAATTGTAACAAAAATTCAGTTTAAAGGTGATAATGACCCTATTTTTAATATTGCTTTCATGAAAGCCCCACTAACAATTTCAAGAGCAATTTGATTATGGTCTGATCCGTCTCAAAAATAAGAAAAGGTGGCATGTTGATATCTTCAAACAAAGTGGACTAAGTTATTGTGGATAGAGTTGATAGACCCTCTCTATTATCATCAGCAAATTGCATGTAGACCCCCTATAGTAATTCATGGTCAATCATTGACAAACCATGATTAGCACCATGAATGGAAATTCCAAATGAGGGACCCGAATGAAAATATTTAATTAATAACATTTATGGCACGTGATAGCAAATTCGATGATTTGATGAACTAAGAGGGTGTTTGGTTTAATTTCTACAAATTATAACAAATGTTTTCCACTCAAAATATGATTTCTTTGTATTTCTTAAAAAAATTATAGGAAAAGTTTTAAGAAATCAAAAAGTACCAATTTTCTTGTTTTTTAACTTTGCTTGTTTGGTTCAAAACAAGAAAATGGCCCATAACTTTATAGAAAATAGTAAGATTTCCTATAATTTGTAGAAATTGAACCAAACACCCCATAAATTTATAAAAAATGTGTCAATTTGGTGTCAGATTTCTGAGTGATTTTCGCCCATTTTGAAAGAAAATTGATTTCTGTAAATTTTAATACTTTTTTGTACTTTACAGAAAATATTTCTGTAAATTTTTTTGAACCAAACAAGTTTATGGAAATCCACAGAAATTTTTTAATTACAGAATTATCATTGCCAGATATTTTGAGAAAACTTTTTTATAAAATTATGCAACCAAACACACCCTAAGTTGAAAAGATTAAGAATTTAAGGCTAATATCGAACGAACTCTTTGCTTCTTTTTTACTTGTCTAACTTTTCTGCTCCATTTCCTTATCTCAATCCACTGTTTTGTGACTCACCTGGCAGGAAGTGTAGGCTGAAAAGCCTTCGCACATGGGATTGGAGTTTTCCCTCTATTTCTTAAAAAAAAGGAAAATACATAAATAAGTATATAAAACTTCAAGTTTGGGCGGCAACAGGGTATCGAACTTTGATCCCCCCCCCTAAATTGGACTGGCATTTAAAGATGTTATTATATAAGTATGAAATATATAGAAAAAGCGATTTGGATGTCTATATTATAGTATTGGGTTTTTTCATAGAAACCACCTTATAAGTTTAAAAAACATATGGAAACGACCTTATAAGTTTTATTTTGGTAGAAACCACCTTATAAGTAGTACTGCTTTGCAAAGTACCACTTTTGGTCAAAATCTGTTTAAGTAATAACCCAACTATCCAAATTGCCCCCATTATTACTACGTGACTTGCACGTATTTACCACAAAAACACAACCCTTAATTAGGGTTTAACCTCCCCTCCTCACCAAATTAGAATCTCTCTCTCTCTCTCTCTCTCTCTCTCTCTCTCT